CCTCTACACACTGCTTTAAATGTGTCCCAGAGATTCTGGTATGTTGTATCTTTGTTCTCATTGGTTTCAAAGAACATCTTTATTCCTGCCTTCATTTCGTTATGTACCCAGTAGTCATTCAGCAGCAGGTTGTTCAGTTTCCATGTAGTTGAGCAGTTTTGATTTTCTTAGTCCTGAGTTCTAGTTTGATTACACTGTGGTCTGAGAGACAGTTTGTTATAATTTCTGTTCTTTTACATTTGCTAAGGAGTGCTTTATTTCCAACTATGTGGTCAATTTTGGAATAAGTGTGATGTGGTGCTGAGAAGAATGTATATTCTGTTGATTTGGGGTGAAGAGTTCTGTAGTTATCTATTAGGCCCGCTTGCTGCAGAGCTGAGTTCAATTCCTGGATATCCTTGTTAACTTTCTGTCCTGTTGATCTGTCTACTGTTGACAGTGGGGTGTTAAAGTCTCCCATTATTATTGTGTGGGAATCTCAGTCTTTGGAGGTCTCTGAGGACTTGCTTTATGAATCTGGGTGCTCCTGTATTGGGTGCATATATATTTAGGTTAGCTCTTCTTGTTGAATCGATCCCTTTACCATTGTGTAATGGCCTTCTTTGTCTCTTTGATCTTTGTTGGTTTAAAGTCTGTTTTATCAGAGACTAGGATTGCATCCCCTGCCTTTTTTTGTTTTCCATTTGCTTGGTAGATCTTCCTTCATCCCTTTATTTTGAGCCTATGTGTGTCTCTGCATGTGAGATGGGTCTCCTGAATACAGCACAGTGATGGGTCTTGACTCTTTATCCAATTTGCCAGTCTGTGTTTTTTAATTGGAGCATTTAGCACATTTACATTTAAGGTTAATATTGTTATGTGTGAACTGGATCCTGTCATTATGACATTGCTGGTTATTTTGCTCGTTAGTTGATGCAGTTTCTTCCTAGCATCGATGTCTTTACATTTTGGCCTGGTTTTGCAGTGGCTGGTACCGGTTGTTCCTTTCAGGTTTAGTGCTTCCTTCAGGATCTCTTGTAAGGCAGGCCTGGTGGTGACAAAATCTCTAAGCATTTGCTTGTCTGTAAAGGATTTTATTTCTCTTTCACTTATGAAACTTAGTTTGACTGGATATGAAATTCTAGGTTGAAAATTCTTTTCTTTAAGAATGTTGAATATTGGCCCCCACTCTCTTCTGGCTTGTAGAGTTTCTGCTGAGAGATCTGCTGTTAGTCTGATGGGCTTCCCTTTGTGGGTAACCTGACCTTTCTCTCTGGCTGCCCTTAACATGTTTTCCTTCATTTCAACTTTGGCGAATCTGACCATTATGTGTCTTGTAGTTGCTCTTCTCGAGGAGTATCTTTGTGGCATTCTCTGTATTTCCTGAATTTGAATGTTGACCTGCCTTGCTAGGTTGGGGAAGTTCTCGTGGATAATATCCTGCAGAGTGTTTTCCAACTTGGTTCCATTCTCCCCATCACTTTCAGGCACACCAATCAGATGTAGATTTGGTCTTTTCACATAATCCCATATTTTTTGGAGGCTTTGTTCATTTCTTTTTGCTCTTTTTTCTCTACACTTCTCTTTTTTCTTCATTTCATTCATTTGATCTTCAATCACTGATACTCTTTCTTCCAGTTGATCAAGTCGGTTACTGAAGCTTGTGCATTTGTCATGTAGTTCTTGTGTCATGGTTTTCATCTCTATCAGTTCATTTATGAACTCCTCTGCATTATCTAGTTATCCATTCTTCCATTCTTTTTTCAAGGTTTTTAGTTTCTTTGTGCTGGGTACGTAGTTCCTCCTTTAGCTCTGAGAAGTTTGATCACTGAAGCCTTCTTCTCTCAACTCGTCAAAGCCATTCTCTGTCCAGCGTTGTTCCATTGCTGGCAGTGACCTGCATTCCTTTGGAGGGGGAGATGCACTCTGATTTTTTGAATTTCCAGCTTTTCTGCACTGCTTTTTCCCCATCTTTGTGGTTTTATCTGCCTTTGGTCTTTGACGATGGTGACGTACTGATGGGGTTTTGGTGTGGGTGTCCTTACTGTTTGTTAGTTTTCCTTCTAACAGTCAGGACCCTCAGCTGCAGGTCTGTTGGAGTTTGCTTGAAGTCCACTCCAGACCCTGTTTGCCTGGGTATCAGCAGCGGAGGCTGCAGAAGATAGAATATTGCTGAACAACAAGTGTTGCTGTCTGATTGTTGCTCTGGAAGCTTTGTCTCAGAGGTGTACACAGCCATGTGAGGTGTGAGGTGTCAGTCTGCACCTAGTCAGTGATGTCTCCCAGTTAGGCTACTCAGGGGTCAGGGACCCACTTGAGCAGGCAGTCTGTCTGTTCTCAGATCTCAACCTCCGTGCTGGGAGAACCATTGCTCTCTTCAAAGCTGTCAGACATGGACATTTACATCTGCGGAGGTTTCTGCTGCTTTTTGTTTAGCTATGCCCTGTCCCCAGAGGTGGAATCTACAGAGGCAGGCAGGCCTCTTTGAGCTGTGGTGGGCTCCACCCAGTTTGAGTTTCCCGGTGGCTTTGTTTACCTACTTAAGCCTCAGCAATGGTGGGTGACCCTCCCCCAGCCTCGCTGCCACCTTGCAGTTAGATCTCAGCCTCTTGTGCTAGAAATGAGGGAGGCTCCGTGGGCATGGGACCCTCCAGGACAGGCATGGGATATAATCTCCTGGTGTGCCATTTGCTAAGACCCTTGGTAAAGCGCCATTATTAGGGTGGGAGTTACCTGATTTTCCAGGTGTTGTGTGTCTCAGTTTCCCTTGGGTAGGAAAAGGAATTCCCTTCCCCCTTGGGCTTCCCAGGTGAGGCAATGCCTCGCCCTGCTTCAGCTCTCGCCGGTTGGGCTGCACCCACTGACCAGCACCGACTGTCCGACATACCCCAGTGAGATGAACTTGGTACCTCAGTTGAAAATGCAGAAATCACCCATCTTCTATGTCGCTCATGTTGGGAGCTGGAGGTTGGAGCTGTTCCTATTCGACTGTCTTGAGTGCCCCTCTTCCAGCAAACTGATTTTTTTAATTTGTCATTGAAATTGGTTTAATCACAACCACTCATAGAACAGTAGCATGCATCGTGTGCCTACAAGTAATGAAAATAGACTCAGAGAGGTGGCAACATTTGCCCATGTACCAGCTAGAATCAGAGGCAGAATTCAAACCCAGATTGGAACCCGAGGTTGTGGCTCATCATCTCTAAAGTCATTGCCTTCAACAAAGGAGCTCTCTTCTCTTTGCAGGGTAACCCAGAGAAAACAGTCAAAGTGGAATGTGGGGTCTACATTCTACAACACCAGGAACAGAACAACTATGGATGAAGAGGGCTACATCTGGTTCCCGGGGAGGAGTCATGACACTATCAATGCCTCTGGGTAGGTGTGGCTGATGCCAGGCTGGCTGTTGTTGTCCTCACATGCCTTATGGGATCTTGCTTGCCCAGACAGTCTTTCATGCATTGGTGACAGGACCCTCAGCCCAATTTGAATACAGCCATATCTACAGTGCCCTGATCCCAAGTTTTGGTGCACCTCCCTAACCCCTACATACAGAAGACTCAATAAAAATGAAATTCAAGAGAGTCTTGAAGGCATAATAAGACACTGTGCAATTTAGAGAAGGGGCAATGAGATTGAGAAGGGAGACTCTGTCTTGGTCCCCATAGGTTCGGGGAGCTTATTTCATGTTTGTGCTCCTCTAATGCAGCACAAGATGTCACAGAACAAACATAGTAATAATAATAACTAACCTTTAGCTATTATTTATTTTTTATTATTATTATGAATCTATTTATTATAAATCTATGTATACAATAAATCTATTAAGATAGATTATCATAAATCTGTTATTATAAATCTATTCATCATTATAATTATTTAGCTAACCTGGAGTACTTACTATGTGAAAACACTGTT